TATCTTCTAATGAATATTTACAGCATGTGCTTTTCTCTATACATTTAATTTGATAGCTGGGAAAAATATTGCAATATATAGTGATATTGCAATATTGTGACTATATGGTTTTTTAACCCACATATCGTGACAAATGTAATGCACGCCTATGCCAATACTCACCTCTAATCAGGGTGTCAAGTAACGAAGTACAAATACTTTGCTACTGTACTTAAGTAACTTTTTAGGCATCTATACTTTATTGAATTACTTAATTTTCTTCCTACTTCTGACTTCTAATCATTACATTTTCACACAATTTTCTGTACTTTCTATTCCTTACATTTTTAAAACAAACGTTACTTGTCACTCTTGGCTTCGGTTCAATGTTTATAAATATTTATTTCACGTCATGTGAGCCATCCAATGCAGATCATTGCCGCCATCCACATCTAGTGAAAACTAGTGTAATTGGATGAGTCATATAACACAAACACTCATTAGTTAGCTAAAGGAAATCATCAGAAGCAAGCAGGTGTTCTTCAAACTGCAAACGTGAATTGTCTATGCCATGCTACAGTGTTGGATTCAGAAAAAGATGTTGAAATGTCTGAAAGGTCGGACACAGGCGAGAGCGAATGGGGGGATGGAGACAGAGACCAACAAGACCTCCCTCATCTTTGGCCCTATCTCAAACAATTTTTAGAAATAGTTGAAAGATTGAGCTTTTAATTCATATAGTGGCATCTGGGTGTTTTATTTTTGTAAAGGTTACTCTATACTTTAAGCACATACTTTTTTTTACTTTTACTTGAGTAAAGAGGTCAAGTTGATACTTTAACTTTTACCAGAGTGTTTTTAAACTGCAGTATCTATACTTCTACTTAAGTTACAAATGTGTGTACTTTTGACACCACTGCCCCTAATCAGAATCCTAATATAAGTTTATCCAGGTTTTAGTCAATTATAACCATTAGACTTAGACAGATTTTATTTTGTCATTTTGTACACACAAGTGTAAAGAAAAACAAATGTTGTTAAGTGCAGCTCTCTAGACTATTTCATTTTTAAAATACAGCCTTGATAAAGGCAAGCAGCAGTGACAGAAACATTGTGATGAAAAAAAAGGGATGTAAACATATGGCTGTATATTTACAGTTCCAATATTCAGGTTTAATCTGTTTATTTATTTATTTATCCTGTAACATGACCAGAAAACTTTCCCAGTGGGAGTAACTGATCTTTGGTCAGCTGGTTGTGATGGAGAGATACTCACTCAGCAGTCTGATGGGGGAAGGCTTTCTGGCTCCACTGACTGCTGTCAGAAAGCGAGCGTAGTTCATGGTTCCTGGGAAATTACAAAAGCACCAAACAAATCAGTTGCTCAGACTATTAACCACATGTTATATATTCAGTTAAGGTCCTAAATGACAAGCTAATCCACCTGTAGAGTTTTTTTTCCTTTATGAGATAAGGTATATTTTAAGTCTAAAAATGCATTCATAGCCAAACCTGATCTGATTTTTTACGAAGCATTAAACAATAATGACACTAAGAAAAAGGGCAGTGAAGCAGCATAACGAGGAATCAATCGGTAGTACCAGGAATAATAAACACGGCTAAACATTTATAGGACACACACTCATCTACTCGTAACTGACCTGTGTTTGTGTCGCGCTCGCTCGTCCCGGTGGATTGTGGTTAATGTATTTCTCTAGCGGCCAGCAGCTGTTTCCCGAGATACACCCTCTTAGCTTAAGAACAAACGTCAAGGACACGTTTAAGAGCAACCGAACGGTGTTATGGAACAGGTTCTTTGAGGAAAAAAAAAAGGCTGTTAATCTTTACCTGTGTACGTTCCAAGCTTTTCGGCGATTCCTGTTTAGTCCATTAGGGGTCAGCAGCAGTGAGTAAGATCTCTCCATTGGCAGGAAACGGAAATTACGTCATATATATCGCTAGCTTAGCCCGTGTTATCTTCGCTTTGCTAGCTTTCAAATATGCTAGTCTTAATTAAGAATGCTGTCAGCTAAAAACAAATACTTTTTTAAGTCTTAAACAGCTATTTTAGTTTTTTTTTCCATGTATATAAAGATTTTATTTGAACGGATACACTTTTTTGTATTCCGACTAAGGGGCTAACAATAAACACTATTCGGAACAGCCGCTAATGTCAGTTAAAGTTGAACAATGATTCCATGTCGTCTGTTGCGGTAGAAAACGAAGCGAAAAGAAAGACATTTAGATAAAATCTCGATCTGCGTTGAGATGTAGAGCTGCAAACGTTGTCTTCTGTCGTTTCAATGGGAAAACGGAAAGACATGATTCACCCCAGGTTTCTTGGCAAGTAACGATTTTTTATTTTTTAATAATTCAACACTTATATTTGAGGTTTCCACGCATCTTTTTCTGTCTGATCTAGTTTGTAGTTAAATTATTTTTATATTGGGTAAACTGGAAGGTCTATGCTCCATGCAGGGTAGTTAGAAACTAGTAATGAAAATGACCGTAAACAAACATGAATGGGTTATTTAATTTTCTTTAAAAGTTACAGTGTTTTATTTTGTGGGACCAAAAGCAGGTAGCAGGTATTTTAATTTGGTTTGATTTCCAAATTGTACATAAAAATATAAAGTCATAACATCAGTTGCTAAAAGAGATGAACATTGTCAGTTTTCCCTTATTGTTTAAACTGGTAAATTCTTTGTTTCACGCTGTGAAATCATCAATAGTAAGGATGGAATGCCTTTAAAAACATTAAACACAAATATACTTTTAACCAAGTTTATTTAAAGACTTATAGGGATTTTATGTTGTACTGTCAGGTAGAATCGTGTGCCTGACTGGAACGTTTGGCACATTTTTCGGTTTGTCTTTGTCGTTTACATTATGTTGATTACTTAAAACATGCAAACAACAACAACAATCTAATCGGCATAGAATTTCTATAGATTTCATTAGGGAAACAAAATAAGGTATTGGGCTTCTATTGCAATTTTGTTTCTGTACTTTAAGAAATTAAATAACCCTTTTTAATGTTATTATTCTTGGTTTCTTAAGAGGACATCCAATAACCGAAATTTGCATGGATCAGGAAAAGACAAATATATTAACAATATTGGGAATTGATTTAGTTATTTACTTCTGTATATTTCTTTATGCATTTATTTATATTTCTCCTCTGGCCATCTTTAGGCGAAGGCAGCTCCAGCCTACACAGCATCCACAAACGGAAACACAAAAAACACAAAAAGCACAAGAAGAAACATCACAGCTTTGCTGAGACCCCAGAGCCAGAACCGATCCCTGTCCCTATCCCAGTCCCGATCCCTCGGCCTCCGTCTCAGTTCAGGCTGAAGATCAAACTGGGAGGGCAGACTCTGGGCACCAAGAGGTTAGCTGAGTCCTAAGTGTTAAAGTCAGTGTTCATCTGGATACGTGATTAACTGATGGGAGGATGTTTGTTCCAGTGTTCCCACCTTCACGGTCCACCCTGGCGTGGCTCGTCCTCCCTCACCATTGATGATATTAGACAATGATGTGGACGACGATGATGAAGATGACGACGACGATGAACCCTCTGTGCCTTTGGAGCAGTATCGAGCCTGGTTGGGTAGGTTACTTAAAGCATAAAGTAAAGGACCAAAATCTATTTCGATCTGTGCTGTTTTAAGGTTGAAACTATAAAATAAGTTTCAAAGCTCAGATAAGCTCCGATAAGTAGGAAAAAAAACAGATTGTCTGTGTTTCTTTAGTTTTTGCAGCCAAACAGAAATCTAATCTAAAATTAAAATGTTTACATTTTGTTATATGCTTTCTCTTTGAACTGTCTATAAATATACCGTCAAACAACTCTGGTGATTTAACGTCTTGAACTGTTACCTGAGGGATAGGGCTGGGTGGTTGGGCCTTAAAATCTTAACACTGAAATTAACGATAAAAACACTCTTCATTATCCTTCAAAGCTGTTGTTAGGCAACTGTACAGCTGTGGCTGTTTGCCGAAACAGTCATAGCCTCACAAATACAAGTCCTGCTCTAAAAAATACCACATAAATTTACAAAAAGCTTCTTCAGGACAGCCGTTATATAAAGAGGTGTGATTTATATCAATAAAGATCCCATATTAGTTGCACTTAATCATAAGAAAAAAGGAAAGTACAGTATAATTTTTTTTTATTATCTCCAATTCTAATTAATCATTTAGATGATAAATTAAAATTGTTATAATGAGTAGAGGGTTAGGGTAATGATCACACCGCTTTCTCCCTCTGTATCCTTTTTTTCCTTGGATGTCAGATGAAGATAGTAACATGGCTGCGTCCCCTCTGCCAGACATCGACTCTGACTCCATGCTGGGTGGGCCTGTGGACGAGGAGGAAAGGTGGCTGGATGCTCTGGAGAAGGGAGAGCTTGATGACAATGGAGAGCTAAAGAAGGAGATTGATGAGTCTCTACTCACTGCCAGACAGGTGAGATAAAGGCTTAAAGTACAGTCAGGCCAATAAGGTTTGGATTAAATCTTTAAATCACAAAAAAACCCCACAAAAGTTAGTGTTTTGTAACATTAAAAAGTCCTCAAAGTATTATTACTTATAAACTCATGAAACTTTCCTCTTCAGAAAGCCCTCCTGCACAAGCAGCAGAGTCAGCCTCTCCTGGAGCTGCCCATGGGCTACAAGGAGAAGGAGATGACGGCAGAGATGATGCAGAAACGGGAGGAGAGGGCCCGGAAGAGACGCCTGCAGGCCGCCAAGAAGGCAGAGGAGAACAAGAACCAGACCATCGAGAGACTGACAAAAACCAGCAAGGCCAAGATCAAAAGCCTCAAAGAGAGGAAGTCCAAGCAGAACCAGTGTCCCATGGTTCGCTACAGCGACTCGGCTCAGGGAATAGCCATCTCTTTCCCAGCAGGGGTCCCCACTCCGTCACCGGCACCTCCGGTTCCTCCACCTCCAGCTCCGGTGAACTGTGGCGTGAACGGATGTAGCAACCTGAAAAAGTACTCGTGTTCAAAGACAGGGGTCCCCCTCTGCAGCCTGGAGTGTTACAGGAAGAACCTGCAGCTTGTGCAGAGCGCAGCTTGAACCAGAAAAGTCCTTCAGATAACTTAATGTGAAAGGAATAGTTTGACAAATGAATGAACTTTCTGTGTGGTATGACTTCTCAATGACTTTGTTTTCTGTACTTATGGTTTTTTTTTGTCACAGTGTGAACAAATATTTATCATTTCTATCATGACTACAGAGATGAGGCTTCCTAAGCTCTGAAAAAAACAGAAAAAAGAAAAACATTTTGCTTTATGTTTAAAAGACATTACCTTCTTAACTCAAAATCCAGCAAGATCAATGAAATCTATCTTGAAATCAATAAAAGGCTGTGGTATTTTATAATTATGTCAAATAGTGTTTATTATGTAACAGTTTTCCCATATAAAACTATACAAAATTTAAATTAAAAATAAACGTTTAGTACTTTCCATACAGAAAGTGAAAAAAATCAATCTAGCATGACAGGCTGGAGATTCATGCAGCAGCATCCTTTCCTTTTTACTGGTATAGGTCAAGTTCACAGCACAAAAACCAGCTGGTGATAGTGGGAGGGAGGTATTCACTGGGTGAGACGCTCACCAGGCTTAATGGTGAGGAAAAAAAGGCACTGAAGTCGAGGTCTGCTTGTCATTTATAACACAAAAAGCCTCAGTCATGCTCCACTGCTTATCTGCAGAAAAAAACCCATTTAAACTAAAGACCTTTAAAGATGGAAATCACTGTTAGGATCAGAAACCTCTACAGTAATCCTGAGATTGTGCAGGAAATGGTCTCATTGTCTTCAATCTATCAGCAGTCCTGATGAGGGTGACGCATCATAAAGCCAAACCAAAGGACAGTCTGAACGCCATCTCTACAACGCCATCTCTACAACTTCTGGCACAGAGTCATGGAAGCACACATAGAACTCCTGAGGAACCGGCTCCAGCAACATCCGCCTGGGAATGAGAACATAAAGGAGTTTTAAAAGAAGAATGCTTTGATTTAAATCCTCCAGGAAAGTCATTTTTGTTTAACATTCCCCTGACTATTGGACACTTTATCAGCACAGACGTACCCGATGACCCAGTAAGTCATGGTGGGGGCGGGTTTCCTCTGGTCGGTCCAGTTCTCTGGCTTACACTGAAACAGAACCCCGTGTTCTTTAACCGGACCCAGACCCCAGCCGGACCTCTGAGGCCGTTCAGCTGCACGGCGACCCTGTGAGAGATCAAATAAAACAGACTCATTCAAACTTCCCCCAGCAGAGAGTGCAGGGAGAGAAACGAGCTTCAGATGCAAAGTTTTCTCCCTCGCATGCAAAACAGATAGTTTTCACTCCCTTTTAAACTTTGCATATCTAGTCATTTTACAACCACAAACTCTAGTATTTAATACCATAGAAGAATCTGTCATGTTGAGTTGTGTATTAAAAGTAAAAGTTAAATCTGCTTTTAAAATGTTGCTCAAATAAAAATCTAATCATTGCAGTGTGCATTTATATTTTTACTGCAGGGGAAATGTTCATGTGTTTGAAATAGGGCTCAATTCAAATTTTAAGAAAATTCTGGAGCTTGTTTTTATCTGTATCTAGCTTATTTAAAAAAAATACTTATAAAAATCAATCTTTAGGAATTATTATGAGAATTAATTTGTTTTTATATCTCTAATTTCTATGGTCCAGTCAGATCCAGGATCTACAGCAAGGCTTCAAAAATGACAAGATTGGGAAAACTTAAAGGTGTGAATGCTTCTATCCTATGTATGATGGAGGGATTGCTGCCTTTATGGCAGCAATGTTAAGGCAGAATTTTTAATAATATAAAGGAACCAGAAGAAGCTTCCTGATGCTTTAAAGACGAGCTGAATGGACAGATAAATCCATCATTTTGCTGAACTTGGTTGGATTTCTGTCATTAGTTCTTCCTCTCTAAGCTTTCCGCTCACCCTGGCCGGCAGGCTCTGTTGGAAGGCGGCTCGTATGGAGAGGCAGCAGTGGTGGAAGTTGCGTATGAGCTGAGGGTGGATGGAGCCGCTGAGCTGAGCCACTTCTCTGTGAGTGGGAGCGATGAAGATCCCCTGCACAGTCTCCATCAGGATGTAGTGAAACAACGTGTTCTCTGTACCTGAAGTCAGTCTGTAAAGACGATTAGGTCATCGTTTGTGAACTGAAGTGATTAGATATCTAAAAACAAGCCGGGAGGAAAATTATTCGCTATGACTGACTTTATGGTGTTGTACATTTCCTCTGTCTCCCTCTCAGTCAGGGTCTTCTTTAGAGTGCCGAGGTAGAAAGGGTTTGGGTGCTTCATCCTATATGTCTGGAGAGCGGGGAAAAGGAAGGGGTGTCAATGAAAGGGAAATGAATTTGTAGTTTGACTTGGATGGTTTGAGGATTCTAAAATATCCTGATAGACTTTAGACAGATCAAGATAGTTTGGAAAAACACCAAATCTCCTTCACTAAATTTAATCTGAGGATGCTACAGCTGTACCTTAAAGAGGCCTCCGCTCCCATCAGACCCCAGAGAGTCCCGCCTCCCTCCAAGCCTTCTCGCTGAACCCGGGGTGGAGTGAGGGCTGATGCTTTGAGCCCCTGATGAACCGGACCCGGACCCCGCATCCATCTGGACCTCACTGTCCAACAAGCTCCTCTGTGGGCTGGACCTGCGGGACTTCTCGCCGAACAGGCTGCGCCCTCGAGACCCGGATGGGGACCCTCGAATGGCCCCGGCCAGCTTGCTGAGGACGGGGGAGGAGGACGCCAGGCTGTCGAGGCGATCCCGTGTCGTGGAGGCAGGGAGGAACCAGTCGGCGCAGGACAGACAGGGAGCGGAGGGGATATTGAGCCGCTCCTCCATCCCTGCCTCCAACGCCTCCAGCTGCAGAAGGGTTGCTTTCACCTGAACACACAACAGCTCAATGTGGATGATTCCCAATTATCCATTCCAGTTTCCATCAGCATGCAACCACACCTACCTGATCCACATAAACACAATCAGGTCCTGGAGAAGCCAGAGCTGGAGACGCACACCCCCCCGCCTCCAACAGCACACACTGCATGAAGTGTCTCTGAAAATGGAGGCAGAAAACAAAGCAGGACCGATCAGACCGCTCTCGCCTTACAAAAGCAGCGTCCTTCTGTCAGCAAACCCCCTCCTCTTCCTCACCAGCCCCACTATGAGGAGGAAGTGTCGTCCCTGAGGCTGCGTGAAGCCCGGCGCTGAGCTGACGCCTCCGTTGACTCTCTGCTGGGGAAACACTTCTCTCCAGATGACGAGCTGACCCACTCGCTGTTCTGACGCCAGAGGCAGCAGGCAGAAGTGTTGGCAGTACAGACACACGTCCAGCAGGTCCTCCTTAGGGAGGTGGTTGGCGATCAGGTAGGACTAAGGGAGGAGAGAAGGTGGAGGATTCAGCATCTGACATGTAGAGCAAGCAAAGAGGTGCTTGATAACTAGAGGAGATGTAATGATTTAAAGCTCAGGTAGAATCTGTTCCCAGCGCTCTACAAATTAGGCTCTGTGGGAAGAAGTCTAAAAAATACTTGAATCTGGGGTAAAGGTCCAAATTCCAGAACAACAAACCCAACCATCAGTCAGAGCTGCAGTGGGACGGTTTGAATCAATCTAGGGCTGCGACCAACAGTTATTTTGCAAATTGATCAATCTGTTGATTATATTTTTCATTTAATTGACAATCTGATAGCAAGAGGTTCTTAAAGAACACTTTTCAACTTGAGGAGTTCTACATAGAGGATATTGACAGGCAATTTTTTTTTTCTACAATTTTTCTATAATTGCTGCTCTAAGATGGTTGCTCTTTCAGCTCAAGGCATGTTTTAGAGTCTCTATAATCCAGTTAACGATTACTTGATTACTAAATGAGTGGACGATTAATTCAATAATAGATTAATCACGATTAATGTGATTGTTTCAGCCCTAAATCAGTCACAGACTGTCTTTGTTTATCCGACCAAGCCTGAGCTTTCATTAAAAAAACATCAGTCTGTAAACATGTGATGCTGTCAGAGGCAGATCCAAACACACCAGTTGCATTTACTTGCAGCAAATGGTGGGCCTACAAACATATGTGCTCACATCACTCTATCCAATGCTCCCATTTGCAGTCATGTTGCTCTGATATATAACATCATCACAACACAGGGCTGTGGTTGTTGCAGAGGAAGACATCCAAACATTATAAATACACCTGGTGTAAACAACCTTTCATATCTGCATCTGGATCATCTACAGTTCGCTGTAAGGAAAGTAGATGCTGGTTTGTGGAAATGCAGCAAAATGCAGGCAAGCTTGTTTGTGCTTGTTTTGGCGTCGATTCCTACCTTGTAGAACAAACAGGAGCCGAGTATAACATAAAGACGCCGCAGGCCAAAGAAGTCCTCGGACTGTAGAAAAGAAAGGAAAATGAGAGTAAAAGAGCATTTAAAATAAGACAGAAATGTAACCTTAATATGTTAGATGTTTTGTAATTAGGTAATGTGTGTTTTAAAGAGAACTTTCTTACATTTTTATGGAAAATGTTTCATATCGAGGAATATTTCAACCATTCTCACCATTTCTCCAAAGTCAGAGGACTCAAAATCAGAGAGAACTGTGTCCACCTCCATCTGAAAGGGAGTACGCAATATTAAATCACCAGCACACACTTCCATACAGCATGTTTAGTCCCAGTTTCCACCATCATTTCACTAATTTAAATTAAATTGTCGTTCCAATAAGTGAACACAAGAGGGCCCCTAAGCTGCACAAAAGTACAAAAGGACCAGACACTTTGGCTCCTGAGGTGTGAGTATTCAGATGAGCAAACCTTTATTTCAGGCGGCAAAGTGAGCCATTGGACAGCCGGAAGTCCGTCCAGAAAGAGGCTCCCTGACACGTCCGGCGAAGAAGGGGAGGGGCCTTCCATCAGGCGCCAAGGCTGGATGAGCTGCTGGAAGAACAAGCAGAAGAAATGGTCCAACCTGGGAGCGTGGTCCACCTTACAGAATGCGCTGCAGGAGACACATGCAGGATGTCAAATGCACGTACGACGCTAAATGAGAGCGACCACATTCCAAGATCCAAGAAGCAGAAGTTTAAAAAAGACAGATGTCAACATTTTGTTATTGTAGAGAAGCTGACCTGTCCAAGGAGCCGTACATCAGTTTTAACGTCCGCACCACATCACCAACCACCGTCTGCAGAGACAGCAGAGGAACCCTGCAAGGAGACGAGCAGAAAGTCAAATGCATACCCGTGTGAACCAACAGCTTCGCCATAGAACGTGCTAAGCCAGTGTTAGCAACCGAAAAAAAATTAAAG